GTCATTGATAATTTCTGGGGTTCCTATGAGATGATGACTTGTAGGTGGTACTTGGATGCTTTGGTTGGATTAGGGGTGGTACTTGGTCCAAAAAGTTTGAGAACCACTGAGGTAGAGAATTTAACACGGAGAACAGGAGGCACTACTTTCCCGTAAGGTTGTAGGAGTATGCAGCAAGCAACATAGCCGCCCAAGGAAGTACAGTACCTTGGCTCCTTTCAGGAAACAGCTTGGTGAGATCCGTGGATCTCTTACCTCATAACTACCACAATGGGATATATGAGCAAAAAGACAACAAAAAAGTTTGTGGTTGAAACTTTCACATGTCTTTAAAAGAAAAGAAGTTTGTGTGTAACAACCATGCTCAAAGTAAGGTACTGTACTTAAATGCTAATGTCAGTGCTATTGTTAGTTGTCTCCGATGGCAGCTCTTTTCCTGGAATTGATCAAGAAATCGGACATTGAGGATCAGAGATATGCGGGTCAGGATAGGCGAACATTTAGGTTCTTTAAAAAAGGGGCAAAATGTGGCTTTCTTGTAAAATGATTGGACGGGGAAGTAAAATGAACTTAAAAACAACATTTGGCGACAAGAAACAAAACACTTATTTGTAGATATATTGCTGAACTGTATTGGAGAAAATTGGCTGGTGATCAGTGAACCATCTGATTGAGCTTTAAAAGCGCTGCAAGTAATCCTGACTGAGTTTTATCACCAATATGAACCTAAGGGCCGCTAATCCATTAGCATTTCATGGAGGTTTTTATTTATGATCGATAGTGAGGAGATGAAAGCTAGCCTGCCTCTAATTTGTGTGATTGCATGAGATGTTTTTCGAAGTTGAAATTTTGAAAATCAATCTCCACTCATTTCTGTGATCTGCCTTAACCGTTTTTGAGCAAAAGATTTAAGATGTGCAACAGAGAACTATTATCACTCTAATAAATACAAATCAGTGTGTTCCCAATGAATTATTCCATTATTCCAACTTGATCTGCGTACAGTAGTTGTTGTGCATTAAATTATGTTCGGCCATCTGGAAAAAACTGTTTTGTTTTCTGTTTTCTCTTAGGTTTTCACTTTAATTTGCATATTTTCTGGTGTAAAACTGTTTGTTTTTTTCTCCCCAAAGGCGCAACTTATTGCTCAGTCCATTGGGCAGGCATTCAGTGTGGCCTACCAAGAGTTCCTGAGAGCCAATGGGATCAACCCCGAGGACCTCAGCCAGAAGGAGTATAGCGACATCATTAATACACAGGAGATGTACAATGACGACCTTATCCATTTCTCCAACTCGGAAAACTGCAAAGAGGTTTGAGCTGTTAACTACCCATAAAAATGTCAAAGGACATTTCAGAACCAATTACCCTCTTACAGGTGCCTCAGTGGCAGAACTGCACTGAAGGCTCTTTGAATTGCTACTGACTGTGCAGAACTACAGCTGTAGATAGGCGACGAGCAGGGGTGCACTGTAGATAAGCATAAGTATTGCTTTAGTTTAAAAGCCTAGTAATGAATGGTAAATTGCATTGCATGTAGGCCATCTTTCTCATTTATACAATTTAATATTTGAATATGAATATTTAGCACTTTATGACATTATGCCTCATGC